CAAAAATGAAAATGGAGCAACTTAAACGGCTTCAAGGAAAGCTTATTGTGGGAAGAAACATAGCTGTTAAATAAAGCATTCAGAAAGGAAGACATATTTTTTGATGTAATTTATTTTATCCAGTGGTATTTTGTAGTACGTATTAAGTAATGACTTGGTTATGAATATAAATGATTATTTCTTCAAACGTAGTGATATTTTGATGAGAAAATAAGAAGTCTATGACTCGGTTATGAATATAAATTAATGATAATTTTCAGATGCATGCTAGTGATTGAACAAGTCTATGGCTAGCGTAATTGCTAAACTTCATCCTGGCAACGGCTACAGTACACCCGTCACCCGTGTATGGGTACACCAATTAGTTAAATAAATGCTAATTTTGCTACATATAAAAAAATACAATAAAAAACATTATATGTAATTTGGAATTACCAAATCGATGCACAGTAATTGCAATCAGAAAATGATTACCTGAATGCAATTGTATTTCCACATACAATTAGCACCTCTCAATTTTCCAGTCAGACATTATCAAGAACATGTTAACCTTTCTTGAAGGACTTCGAATTTTGTAGATCCTTATGCCAATCAAAGTTTACTTTATAAAATACAACGGCATGTCACTAATTAACTCAAAAACTAGGCTTTTGATGATAAAGAAATTGAGATCCTTAGAAGAATGACATGGTCAACCACATGCATAAATTTGTAAATAGGTACTAAAGTCTTGTAATTTATAAGATTTATGATCCAATTTATCATGTTATGGTACCTTACTGACCTAAACATTGTAATTTAGTCCTAATTCTAGTAAACAATCGTCTTCACTTGAAATAAGATCTGTTTACATCTTTAAGGTTCACTCTTTCCAATTAATCGTAATTTGGATCCTTAGTTAGTAGCATAACTAGCGGAGTGCAATATTGTGCATTAGGGTTAACCATGACGTGGTAAACCACATGCATAAAATTGTAAACGGGCACCTACATCTTGTAATTTATAAATTTAGAATCCAATTTACTATGTTATGGTACCCTACTGTCCTAAACTTTGTAATATTAGTCGTAAACACTTGTCTACTGTACTATCACACTACTATAAAGTCTTCCACAATGGTATGTTAAAATAAACCACCTTGTTAATAATATTCCATGATGCCTATGATCCCTACCGACGTACAAAACCGGTATTAACGTCTGTAAATGTGAAAAGAATGTAGTTATTACTGTATACGACAACGCTAATGTTTCACAACCAACGTCTAATTAATATATAAAAAAGATTAAAAAAAGATTTAAAAAAAAAGGCAATTTGGATAAGCTTAGACGACGCTTTTTGAAAATTCATGACGTCTGAAGAGGATAACATGTCACGGTTGTTGTTAATAAGCTTACCACAACATGGACAATATAAATATAGACGTGGTTCCTTTGGTATACGGCGCTTGTAACACCAATATCGTTGTGTGTATTCTCTAAGACGATGATAGGTGTTAGTTTATCGACGTTCAGAAGAGCTCTCACGACAAATACTTAAACTGAGAAGCCTTTGTGGTTTTTTTAGATGACGGTACATATTTATGGGAGGTCGTAGTGATCTCGTAAAATTCGTCGGTTTTTGCACTTTACCGTCGTGTTATTACTTTTGAAATGTCACTTTGATGAATAACTCCGACATGAATTTTGGGTAGTAACGGCTTAATGTGACTGTCGTTGTTGGTTATTATTTTTTTACAGTCGCCTAATTGTTATGTAATATCAATTTTAATTAACCGATACGTTTTTTTATTTCAAATGACGGTTTTTATTTATGTACAATCGTTCACATTGTCCATTCCACATCGTTTGTTAAAATACGACGTTCGATATGATTTAGACGTCTGTTTTTACAATTTGTTAACTCGACCTCGTATTTTACATCTTGAACCTAGTATTTTCATGATAGGACCTGCCCCGGATTCTCCCTCGGAATCCGTGACGAATCCTGCTTCCCCCAATGCCAGACCCACTTTACTAAAAAAAAGCCTTGTAGCCCTAATTAAAACAAATAAACAATTTGACTTCCACTAAAATTTCGGTAGTCTCCCTTGAAAAATGAACTTTACCAAATTTTCCACATGTCAAACACAATAGAAAAACAACCAATTGCCAGCACACCCAATGTAGTAGCACACATAAATTAAAAACGGGCCTCCTGCCTCATAAACAATCCTTTAATACAAAGTACTAGAACAGATCAAACAAAACTCAAATTGATCAATTTGCGGCCGCACCTAGGTTAACCCAGGTTGCCTACGTACCCTTAATCAGGGATCAAGGCACACGTAATTCTTTCAACTTAAAATGATCAGAATTCGGAAAACATAAAGATATTGTCCAAGTAAAGCCAAATTAAATTTAGATTCATTCTAAACTTCAATTTCCACGAGGCATATAACTAAATATTTTATAAATTCCTTTCTTCTCATGCTTCATTACTCAAAACCATTTCCCTTTAAAAACTCACAATACAAACGACGATTTGCTCCAATGACCGTCGTCTAGGATACGAAAACGCAGAAAATAAATCTCCAATTCCAAGTTATTTTCCAAGAACCCATAATAGAGAGTTATTATGAAAAGCATGCAAAAACTAAATGGGTTTTTCAAATTCCATTCCCAATTCATAGCTCCCAAAACATTTATTAAGAACCCATAGCTCCCAAAACATATATTAAGAACCTATATCTACCAAAACAAACGAAATCATTAATTGATTTAAGAAGCAGGTCAGATTAGGTTTGTACTTAAGAACCCATAACGCAATATCATTAAATAAAGTAGGACAAGTTTGTGATATTAGGGTTTGTACTTACAGGTGGACAGAGCTCAGAGAATATCACCAGAGAATATCACCAATGCCGTGAGAGGGAAAGCGCAATATAAAACGACGGAGGATGGAGACCGAAAACATTAAGATTAGAATTTGAGTTGAAGAGAAAGAGCGAAATGTTTTTGAGGGGGGGCGAATTCTGCAAATTTTAGATCATTGTCAAATATTTGAAAGGCCCGCATTTATAAACAATGACAAAAACAATATAAAAAAACACCGTTGAAGGTCACGACGTAGACAATGGTTATAACATGTATAGGGCTGTTGTACGAGTTTACTATGGCAGTAATATATGGGTCACACCATAGTAAAACCTTTTCAAGGTGCAAAAACTAACACCGATGTCTAAAAAAATAAAATAATTAGGTGGGCTTTGGTTTTCCTGGGATTCGAACGCTCGTGACTAAGGGCGTAATTGACCAAAAACCGTCGAGAGGAAACTGGCGTTGTTTCAATATACCCTAAACCCTAAACCCTAAATTCTTTATTTTTATTTTAAAATTAAAAAAAAAAGCATAAGTATGAGAAAAATAAACCAAAAATTGCTATGGACTCCTTACAACAATGCCTTCTATATTAGAAGGCTAAAATCTAAATTTCATATATTTGTATTTATGGCAACCAATGGATCACACAAACCTTAGGGTTATGAAAGTATAAATACTATTGTGCTTTGTCTACAAACAATTTTGACTTTTGTTATGATTTATAATTTTTATAAATAAAATTACATTTTTCAAAGCTTTAGGGGGAATACAATCTCTCAATGAGTGCATAGTAGTTGTCGGTTTATTTTTCGGATTTTTTTTTGAATTTCTTATGAATATTAGGAATTTAATACAATTAAAAAAAATCTTATTAATGGGAAATGACATGTGCCAAGTGCTCATAGGCTTATTCCCACATTTCTAACGCATGTCGTAACAAGAGATTTAGAGAGCGAGATGGCTGCATGCGATATTGAGAGATAACCGACGTTGTATGCCTTTACAACGGCGTTATTTGTCTACCTACTGTCGTCCTAGTCCTTTTAGACGTCTACAATTCGGTGAGAAACGATGTTTATAAATTACAAGATCACTTATTATACATTTGCCGTCATCTTCCATCATTAAAACATCTATAAGTGGGTAAGTACCGACGTTGTTTGAAGTTACAACGTCATGTTTATATATTTGTCGTTGTTGTAGTCCTTTAAGACGTTTATAAGTGGGTAAATAACGACATTGTTTATATATGTATTTATCGCCGAAGTAGTCATTTAAGACGCCTCTAAGAGGGTAAATACTGACGTTGTTTAACATTACAACGTCAGTTTTTATGTATTTATTGCCGTTGTAGTCCTTTAAGACGTCTATATGTGGGTAGATACCGTCGTTGTTGATTTACAGTCGATGTTTTGTTTTCAACTTTCATAAGATGACAGTGTATGAAATAATCGTGTCATTGTCACTGTCATGGGATGTTGGTTTAGTGAATTACTGTCATGTTCAACGGTAAGTCATTCATATACACATACATCTCCTCAGTCATTGATTGTTCACTAATTACAAAAAAAATATGTACATTGTAACACAAAATATATAGTCCACATGAAGACTCACGAATTCTGTCCATTCCTTCCTAATTTCATCAATGTCTTCTTGAGCATACGATATGGGTTCTTTTCTCTTCTCAAACCGCAAAAAATAAACAATGATTATTCAAAGATACAACAACCGACGTGTTATAGTAATACAAATGATGGTATTTAAAAAACCGGCCTAAAAACCTGTCTGGTTATAAAAATAAAATCTTAAATTTAGACTTTTTCCAATTACAATCATCGTAGTTTACAACAACAACAACCCAAAAAAAAAGAAAAAAAAGAAACAGAAATTAAATCTTAAATTTTGACTTTTAGCTACTTCTCAAATTCTAGGGTAGGATCACTGATTATATCCATCATAAAATACATCACGTAGTAGCCACACTCTACATTGGATGGTTGCCTTGGAGTGCCTTGTAGAGTATTCCAAATGGCTGTTTTGCGAGATTGTTTGCCTACGTGTGCATTATACATTTTGATGACATTGTTTCAAGACAACAAGGTGTTAATAAAAAATATTTTAGCCTACGAACACACATTACGTGTTCACTACATGTTTGCATTCCTCGTCAACCGTGCGGTTTGATAATGGATCCATATAATATACAGTCTCCTTTTTTGGTCTCACAATTATCAACACCCAATGACACCTAAACAAAATGAGGATAGGTTAAATAGTTTAGAGCTGCTGGCTAATTACAAAGAAAATCTTGTTAAGGGGACTAACCCTAGATTATAAGGCACCAATAAAATTTGATCCCCATTTGCCTTTTTAAGGTGATTTGCTAGATGTCGTGATCTTTGAGATAACGGTCCACATTGAGTGCTAACTTGGGCAAGGTCGACAAGGCCAACAAGGTTTACCATATTTGCCAGTTTTAAGAAGTCAAATAGGTACCTAAACATATGAAATCCAATGAGTTATTTATTTTAAAGAAAGTGAATTGTAAAATGAAAATTGGATTTTTAGGTTTACCTCATGTATACAGAAATGATAGTGGCTCCTATCTCAACCATGGATGCAAACTGAAAAATATCTTCATGCAAGATGAAAGTTTCACGCTCAAAAACAAACACTTCCTCTGCCATTGTAATTCTCATGGTTTTGTCAACATCCTTCAATGTTGTCTGAACATAATAGCAAAGGGCTTTTAGAGCAGGTAGCAAAGGGTTTTTAGAGCAGGTAGCAAGTCTAGCTTTGAGAAATCATGTTTCAAGAAATAAAGAAAGATATATAAGATAGTTTGTACGAAAGTAAAATAAATGATAGTAACTAAACCATACAAACCATCGTGGTATTTAAATTCAAACGACAGTTCCTTGAAAAAATCGACGTAGTAAATGAATGAAGACAACAATAAATAAACACCATAATTGTGTACAATTTCAAACGTCACAAAGCAAAAAAATTGTCGTCTAAATCAAATGCAAAATGTAGAGAAATAAAAAGTTGACAAAAAAACCAGCATTATCTAATAGAATTGGAGATAAAAACAACTGCATAGAGAGAGAGAGAGAGAGAGAGAGAGAGTGTGTGTGAATGAGAGTGTGTGTGTGTGAATGAGTGAAGATAACTTGTAAAATAAGTAAAATAAAACAATCATCTAAGTCAACCATCTAAATCGTTATGGTATTTCATTCACAACGACGGTTTCATGACAATACTGACATACTATGAAATTTCAAACGACAATAAGAATTCAATCTGTCGTGATGGTTAGTTTGCTTTTTCTGATGAACAACTCCCTATTCCCTACTTATCTCTTTAGAAAATGTAGTTTGCTTATCCCTTCGAAATGATACCTGCTTTGAAGCAGACTTTTCTTTATATGGAAAGGGACTTTGATCTTCTTCCTTGACTGTAAAGACCGGAGAAATTTTCCTGTTTAAGACATGCCTTCATTAATTCCCCATCAACTCTAGTTGAAATTTTTGACTTTTCAAAGTCAGGTAGTCACGTGGGTTTCTTTGTGAATAGACTTTTTAAAATTCTGCTAACTTTGTACTCTAGGATTGAGATCAATGGTGAGATTTTTAGAAGCTGGGCCCAATCAAATTCTTTTTAGAATTTCATCGACCTGTTTGGTGATGAATTTCCATTTAATGGAAATTTCATTGAATTACTTTGTGTTTTTTACACCTCTGCCACTTTGTAAAAGACATGGGCCTCTTTTGTTTGGTTTGGGCTGCTTTTCTGGAATCAAGGCCCATTCTTTTGTCTTCTGTTTTGTGGGCTTTTGTAAAAATGGGCTGTCGTGCAGAGTGTTGACCCAAACATAAGGAGAACTCCGGTGGCTGCCAAAAATTGACATGGGCTTTTTGATTTTGGACTGGGCGTGCCGAATTAAGCCCAAACAGCAGCTTGCTTTGTTAGACATTAGATTTTTGGGACTTTACTCTTGAGGTAGTATGGAATTGGGGTAATTGGATGTTTGAGCATGCTAGGATCAAAATTGGGAATTAATTAGCTGAATTGTTTCAACATATATTCCCTCTCAGCTTATAGCAATTCCTTAGTTCTGGCCTCCATCTTCAAACTCTCTTCTCTGACAGCCTCTAGTACACTTTCCTTCAGTTTATCGGCAAACTTTATTATGTGGTGTTTGGGTAAATTGAAGTATTAACTAGGGGAAACCCCGGCTCCTAACCCTCTGACTCTCCCACCATGCTCGAGGGTTCCCAAAGCCAAAGTCAATACATCATTACTTCTAGAAACTATCAGAGTGTCATTAGAGACTTTTTTAAAACAAAATTCATCATAAAAGAGAGAGAGTGTGTGTGTGTGTGTTAGTAAGTGAAGATAGCTTGTAAAACAGATAAAATAAAAATGACCCTAAATCAAAAATCTAAACTGTCGTGGTATTTCACTGAAGACGACGGTTTCTTGACAAAACTGACGTAGTATGAAATTACAAACGGCTGTAAATTAATACCGTTGTTGTGTAGAAATTCTAACGTCGGCAGGCGAAAAAACCGTCATATAATGCAAACGCAGAGATTAAAAAAGTTCACAGAAAATTAGCATTCTTTACCATAAATAGAGTTAAAACCAATTGCACAGATAGAGAGAGAGAGTGTGTGTGTGTGTGTCTAAGAGAGAGAGAGAGAGAGAGAGAGAGAGAGAGAGTAAATGAAGATAGCTTGTAAAACATTTAAAATAAAACGACTAACTCAAAAATAAAAATTGCCGTGGTAATTCACTATAGACCTCCATTTCTTGAAAAAACCAATGTACTATGGATTCAAACGACGGTTAATCAAAACCATCGTTGTGTGATATTTCTAACGAGACGTTTAGAAAAACAAATAACGTCTAATTCAAATTCAAAATACTTTGTTTTTAAAATTTAAAATAGAGTGAGTGAGGCTTACAATTAATTTTGCTTTCTCTGTAGCCTTCGGATCGGGGATGTTTCCCTGTTTATCTTCTCTAGCCTTCCTCCATAATAGAGAACGATCAATTTCTTCTCTAGGCATGGTTTCCTCCAATTGGTCCAACAAACAAACATACCCTTTTCGAGACAACCTATGATTGTGTTTGCATTTTGCCCTTCTCTGTGACTGTTCAGTATGCATAGCCACAAATTCTAGGGATAACCTTGAAGCTATAAAGGCATCCCAAATTGATTTCTCTATGAATTTATATAGTTGAGGGGATTCTTTTAACTTCTCCTTGTCATTTCTGAATGGAAGAATAAGTTGCCTCGTAAAGTTAGACTTGAAATCCTTCTTCTTCTTTTTTTTTGTGGCATACAATAACACTATCTTCTTGCCCCCTTGCTCAACAACATAAGTCATTTGAAGAGCTTCCCAAATCTACTCCTTTATATCCTTGGGCAATTCGGTCCATTTCTTGTCCACAAGAGTGACTCTGGTGTGTGCTAAAACACCAATATACGATTGCATCTCAACAACAGCCTTGCCATGTGGTCTGCCCCTTTTATTGTACTCAACAATAGGTTTAATCTTTTGGATTTTTCTTTTCACAACACGGCTCATTGTGTTGATATCACGAGTTGACTTTGGCTCCTCATCAAATGTCGTTGTGCTATTAGGGTCTTTCTCGGCAGATGAAGCAAATCTCAAAATCTTTGAGGTTTTGCTTTGAACTTCTTTGTCTTCATTCATTTTAGCCTTTGAAATTGCAAGCTCTTTACTTTGAGCTTTTGAAACTTGAGTCTCCTTACTTTGAGATTTAGAAACCATGTTTGGAGAGAAATATAACCCGCAAGTGAAAAAAAAAAAAGCGACGGTTATTTGAAAAACACGACGTAATATTACATTTCACACATAGCTAGATAATAACTACCATCGTACTATTTCCTTTAGCATAGCGGTAGTTAATTACAGTCATGGTATGATAAATAAAACGGCGTATACAAGAAAAAAACAGTCTTCTTATTAAGAGTAAATACAGAGAAAAATAAACCATGAGATCTTTTGCTCCCACAATTGTTTATATTTTACTCTTAATAAGATGACGGTTTTGTCTTGTTATGTCGTTTTAATCATCACACCACAACGGTGATTAACTACCGTCGTGCTATTTGCAATAGCACGAAGTTAATTACCGTCATGGTGTTGTAATTCAAATGACGTAAACAAGAAAAAATCATCGTCTTATTAAGAGTACAATACGGAAAAACTTGTCCTGAGAGTGGGAGACTACTGATATTATTCATAGCAATGAAAGATGTCGTTATTTTGAAAACAGAGTCTTGTTTCTAGACACTTTCTTTCATGTTATCAAACTTAGAAATGAATTTGACATTAAAAAAAAATGTAACATTTTGCTTCAGATGTTGGGAGAATTGGATACAAAGACGAGGAGGAGAGGAAGATGACGAGATTCAGACACGCCACTTTGGGAAGGAAATCTGAGAGGAGAGTGAAATATTTTATCCTATTCAGAAAACGTAAAATTTTAGGTCAGGTGACGCAAAAGTTGATAGGACCAGCCCCGAACTCCTAGGAATCCAGGGCGAATCCTGTGGATATTTCTGACATAATACTAATGTCGGGCCCACTTACTAAAGAAACAAGACTTTTTGCTGAAAATTCGCCAGAGTCTCCCCTGAAGATTGGACATTCCCAAAATTTTCGACTTGTTAAAAACATCTTTAAACAACTCAATAGTTAGCATGCACAATGTAAATACATGCAATTTACATCAATGGCCTCTGGCCTTACAATCAAACCCTAACAGGGGCGACATCAGAGCATATCTAATAGAATTCAGTTTACAAATAGAATATAAAGTTTAATGGAAATCAAAATGAATAAAGAGTGTCCTATAAAAACTCGGGGTTCAGAAGGAAGATCTCGGCTCGGCCGCTCAATTTCAATCTATCTGCTGCCTGGAGGGCGCAAAATAGAAAAGTGTGAGTGGACAAAAACAAAGTTTCGTTAGTTGAAAACAACATATAGTAACCCCCGAGGTTGGAAAACAATGCAAAAAATATGAACTCAAAACCATCATAGATTATATATATAGCCACGTCAAAACCACGATGAAATCCATCTCATAAAGATATCGAAATATCCATCCCATACGACACTATTTCCCCAAACCACTCTCTCGAAACACATGCCCGTTGCCACGGCGAGTTAGGAAGTACCCTCACTGATAAACAAGAAGGAATGTATATATATAGATACATACATACATACATACATACATACTTATTTACACACATACATACATATACATATATAATATCATATACATAGATATATAGTTATGACCACTACCAAGTTTGTACTGGGGAAATAATCCAACCGGGGGATTGATTGACTAGTCCACATGGAAGAATCCTCAATTGACCATGTGGCTAGAGAACGAGCCGTCTAACTGGGACTAAGCTCACCAGCACGCACAACAGAATTCTCAATACTCGTGCGCCTGTGACAAGTCCTACGCACGCAGACTAACCCCGTTAAGGATCTACGAAACACCCCCTCAAGGGTGCCCGAGTTTTGACATATCCGAATATCCATAGTTCCCAATTTCCAATCCATAATTTCCAAATTCGGGGAGGTACATAGGGTAGTGCTTATAGCACTTCAAACTAACATAAACTATAATCCACTCTCTTTCCATAATCTCATTCCCAACACCCCACGTACCCCATACATAACTAAGCATAGATAGAAATTCTCGAAAATAATATGTATCAACTCAAGATACTCGCAACATGCCAAAACCCAAATATATTGCAATTACTTTACAAAAATATCAAGTTTCAACTATTAATTATATAATAGATTCAATGAACCATTAAATCATTATGCATAGTTTTTCCGTCATAAAATAATGCTTATTATTTGAAAACAAAGTCCACTCACTTGTAGTCCCACGTTGCTTGACCTGAGAGGGTCCAGCCTACTGAGTACAAGTAATCGGAGTACTTATTTTAGAATACGAGGATGAGATTAACATAAGATACGTCGAACTAGAACTTTGAATAAAATCTTAGTTTCCTGGGATTTCAAGTGTGTGTACATCGAACAAGAAGTTCTTAAGGACCAATTACGTGTTTCGGATGGTGGGTTAGCCTTGGAAGACGTGCGGTCAACTGCGTGGTCAAACTTTATAAATTGGGTCAACTAGGCCTGTGGGGCCCACAACCTCCGATTTCTGATCCGAAAGTTCCTACGGGTTTAACAAGGTTTATTATACATGTCTTGCAAGTTTGATCCAAATCGAACGGTCAAATCGCTCGCGATTGCATGATGAGACGGTTACTGTTTAATCTAATCTTTAACTCATTGAATCGAAGCATCCAGAACTCCGATTCACGATCCGTGAATTCCTATATGATCCTAGAGGTGCCTAGATCAACATATATGAAATTTGAGTCGATCCAACAGTCCGAACATATCGAATGCAGATAACGCCCTATATCCAAGCATCTCATAGTGCTCCGGAAGACATGAGGATCATTCTAGGATCCAATGCCCCACCACAAAGTGGCCCACGCGCCGCCACAAGACTACCAAACAACACTTGATAAGAAGAGAGGAGCTTGTTTCAGTTATACTAGGTCCGAGTGGGCTAAACTAGTTGTATGGCCACCATCTTTGGATATGTTGTAGAGAACAGAAAGCTGAACAACAATATTGAAGAAGCAATCTTAGTCATCTGAGCAAGGGAAGTCGATGTCTAAGAGTGAATAAGTTCCTGTAGAGTTAAAACAGCAGAACAGAGGACTTACTAAACTTTAACAAGATTTCAGATGGTTAGAGAACTCAAATTGCTGTGAATTTTGGATATGTAATAGTTCTCTAATGAAGGAACAGTTATTATGAAGAAACTATTGTCCAATGATAAACAGAAATTGACATGCAAGAAAGAATTCGAGCCTACATCAGTACAGCAGCCAGGAATGAGCAGGCGACACTTCAACACGCTTTGAGATGACTACACTTCTTGGATTAAGCCCCAATTTTGAAAGATTATAGCCAAGACATAGATGAACAACTTTGATGAAAGGACCGAAGCTATTAGATCAGAAGAAGTCCACATGAAGGAGTGAATAATGCCGCACTGGAGTGAAACCAGAAGACAGAACGAAAGTGGAGACTAGTCTCACCTTGAACACGATTTCAGGTAGATAGAAATCTTCGATTTCCTTGAATTTTGGATATGTTGTAGGTATTGAATAGAGGGACAAGTTTGATGAAGACTACTTCACCAAAAGACCGTGGAAATAGACATGCAAGGACAAATCGGAGCTTACGCAGAAAATCAGGCTGTGACTAACAGCTTGTACTCAAACTGCGTTTTATTAGGTAACTAATCTTCTTCGATTGGGCTCAATTTTTTTAATATTCTAGTAGACACGCAGATAAACAAGTTTGGAGAAGGAAATATTTCATTTCGAGCTGAGAAGATATGGGTTTCGAAGCAGTTAACAAGACTGACGTGAACAAGGAGAGCTGGAGCTCTCAGCTTTGAAGAAAATGAGATGTGAAAACTTGTGTTTGTGTGAGAGTTATCAAGGTTCAGACTTGTGAAGAGGAGGGAATAAGTGTGGGAGTTACAAAATGATCAGATGTGGGAAATTTAAGGTCTAGGCGTGGAAAATCTGATTTGGGGTATTTTAAATTTTGACTTCTCTAAAATTACGATTGTGCCACTTCATTTCCGTAGATCACAATTTCCTCGTCATAACTCCGATTTGAGCCCAATACGTGTCTACGGACTCAACTCGACACAATCTACATCATGGTTCCATTTGTTTCTCCAAAATCCTTCTGGATTAAAAAGTGACCAAAATGACCCTATCCCCAAGAGCAAAATTGTAATTTCAGAATTTATTAATTTAATTTAATTAAAGAATAATTAAATTTTGGGACGGGATGTTACACATGAGGACGTCATATGTCGAGAAATTTATTTTTACCGTCGTGGTATATTGCATTAATACGACGCTGACGTGGATTCTAGTAAAATTATTTGACACTGATTAAGAATAGTTTGTCGTGTTAGCAGTTAACATTACAGCAGTTTTGGTAAAACGTTGTCTTTACTTTCTATGTCGGTAGCTTCAATAGCCACCCAGCACACGACCACCACCCAATCCCAATGACAGCAACCCCTATCCACCACAACCCAACCCCAGCAGCGAGAACTCTATTAATTGTTATTTATATTAAAGAATATTAAAATATTAAAATAATTTTATTCACAAGCACAGTCCCTTAATCTTCTCCACCACCTACCTTGTAGTGCCAATAGATACAGATCCATATATGCCTTCAATTATTGTGTGGTCCCTTTATTTCAACAAGCACACCCTCCTTTTCTCCTCTCTCTCCCTTCACAGTGCCGCACCAGATCTAGAATCTACATGTCCTGTGCATCGAAGAGGCTGTCAGGCTTCATTGTGAGCTTGACATTCCTGCGCGCTGCTCCATCGCGACCTTGACTTTTCCCATGATTGCTTCCTCCAAGGAAGAACAATCCATAAGGTTGATGGACGATCTGAGTCAAAGGACGTAAATATGGTCTATTAGGCTAGAAATTTGATGAGAAAGAGGGGGGAAAGGGATGCTTGGCTGGGTTGTTGAGGACAGAGGGTTGCCGCTGCTGGGGTTGGATGGTTGTCGTGTGCTGGGAATTTTTTTTACTTCAATTTCTTTTGTCGAACATGTATTTTAATATATTTTAATTATTTTTTTTAAATAAAGGGATGAAGAGAGTT